AAATCACATTTAAACAGTAAATAAACTATCAATGAGCAAAACCAAACAGTAAATTCAACCCATATCACATAATTACATCCCACGAATTGGGATTTTAGCTGGACATAGTAAGGACATAGAAATCGATACCAACGAGTGTTTCCATTAACTAGGTATGGTATGTCTTTACACATGTGCAAAATAAAGATTCTTCAATACCCACTTCTAATTTCTAAGAGTTGAAATCCTGTATGTCTTGAAAGCTTCAATTCAAAGTCTCAAGAAAACTCTAAGAATAAAGTTGAAAAAATGTATGAGTAATGCAGTATCAAATGTAAAAGTCTAGTAAAATTCGATACTAAGCTAAAATAACAATGAGTATTTATACTTTTTTAAAAAAATTGTACTGCAAAGGACCACTCAGCGCCGTTATTCACAATTAACGATAAACACAACGATTCTCCCTTTAGTATATCTCCTCGCAATCCTTTCTTAGCCTTCAGCATCTTCGTGTTCTATACCTTTAGGTGATGTAGTACTGCTTTTCAGAACTGCTCGGCAACACGCCGACTTAAGTATTCCTTTAGGGATCAGCACAATGGAACATTAGTTGATAATAAGGTCATTTGAAGACTCGGCAAATATGTTAGGCTATCCTTAGTCTATCTTTTTTTCATTCTTTTAACTGCCTTGTTCTTTTTTGGTCAATTATGTCAATGCTTTGCCTCAAAGTCTAAATACTTGAAACTCAAGATTTTTCATCAGTTTTCATGACAAAATATGCATTTGATGACACTTAATCTACTAAATATAGCCCTAAATGAGTCTAAATCGCGAATTCATAAACAAAATTGGTAGAGTCATGATTGAGCCGGATGGATCATCGTAATTTTTTTTGTTATCTATTTGTTAGTTTATTTTATTTCATTCTTATATTTTTTATATATTATTCATGAACTAAATTATTTATTATGTGTTTTGCAGGTTTTATCTTTCAGAGGATGCTCCCCGAGCTTTAAAAGAATGTATTAGAAGACTTTATACACATGCTTATAACTTTTGGACCAAGATTTTAAATAGTATACACCAGCCGATGTTTAATGAATTTAAAGTTTATATTTTTAGTAATTTTATTAAACTTTACTATTTTTAATATCAATCTAATTAACACTATTCCAATTTTTTTCAAACTATGTGTATTTGGGTGTCGAGGTACAATTTGGCCATTATGACCACATTTGAGATGTGAACATCTGCCATATTTTTTTGTCGTATTCAACATCCTGATGAAATGTTTCCTCATATTTTTGATGAATTGTGTCTCTATTGGAACATCGATAAGCTTAAGGAAATGTCAGCATAAGCCAAAAAGCCAAAAAGGCTATGACTCAATGCACACCTGAATTGTAAAGATTGTTTGAACAATTGCAAGAGACATGGAAGTTTTAATTCAAACTCTTAAGTAAATAATTAGTGATTCTATATATTGTTATAAATTTTAGTTTTTATTTATTGGAAAAAAAATTGAGGCACACTACCGTTGCACTAGAGGTTTTAAGGAATATTCATGTAAGCAATATATTTGTGATATGTGATATATATATATATATATATATATATATATATATATATATATATATATATATATATATATATATATATTGATGTCGATGTATATATTTAATCTGTAGAATGAGTTTCAACAGTTTATCACTCAGAATCTAGAAATTTCGTTCCAAATGACACATGAACTGTCCACCAAAAATTTGGTAGAAAAAGTGATAGGAGGGTGGGAGGACATACAAAGGTACTCTTTATGTTCTAGGCTCTCAAAATGATGTAAGACGACTCTAATCACACTTACAGGGTATCGTATCATCATATAAAGCCGAGGCACTTGACTTTGTTTCTATGTCAACTCAAATAGCATAATTTACTTCGACAATAGTAGAATCAGACTAGAGAAGAGTAGCTGAACAGCAAAGCATGAGTTAGACCGCTCAACAAGTTTAAGAACAAGTGAAGAACCGCGCTAGTCGACCTACTACTTCGGCTCCTGAGGACATCAATGACGAAAATGAGGATTATGATGATGATTTTGTAGATATCACTCCCTAGTTTAAGTTACTTTTAGTTTATGAACTTTTTGAAATTTGGAAAAACTTTATTGGTCTTTAAATTGTGATTTAGATACTTTTGAATGTTAATTTAGGTTTGTTGTTTTACATTTTATGTAGTTTAAATTTAATGTTGTGTGTTGACTAAGCTGAATTGAATTGCATTTGCAGGCAGGCAGCCGAAACTGCCAATTTTAGTTGTAAAATGTTTTGCAGAAACAATTACGTATAGGGTTGTTTTTTCCATTGCTTCTCTAGGTTTTATATTTTTAAAATAAAATCCAAAAAAAATGATAAGTAGTTTCCTTTAGTCCGTAGATTTTCTGAATTTTTCAAAAAATAAACTTCCAGAAAAGTGGCGGAGATGGTCCTCTTTTTGGTAACATTGACCCAGAAAGTGTCAAACATGATGCATCGCTTTTTCATCTGTTTTCACCAAAAAATCGATACAGTGTGTCGCTTTTGGCCTTCATTTTTCGGTAGTTTGTAAGTAGTACAATCGAATCAATAGGAACATGTATGGTTAAAAATTATTTGTAAGCATAGTTATAAGGTAACGACACAAAAGTAGTGTAGGTTTATAGGCTTATGAAAGGATTGTCGATTAATGTGGCTTCGGTTCTCTGGCATAATATGTTAAAGTTTTGAAATAAAAAAAGTTGGAGGCATTGCAATGGCGGTTTCATGAATCATTTTATCTAGAGCAAAGGTGTTAAAGGATGAATGCCCGAATTTATAATCATTGAGAATGCCATAATAGACAAGTAAGTTGGTTGATGTGATTAAGACTAAGGCACAAAACACTTTCCATGGACCTGTGTTCGTTATTCTGATCGTGGTCATATGATCTCTACTCTGATCACTGACTTACGGGTCGGAACAATAGTTGGATAGGTCAAATACTTTGTACAAACAACATATCTTTCTCAAATATAAAATTAAAAAAAAAGATGCAGCCTTTTACCCCTTCTTTTTTCTTCAATCTTTTATAGTTTATTTGAAGATTCTTATGAAGATTTCATCTTTAAAAATCGAATAAGAGTTCCATGTATGATTTAAAACTGGGGTTTCTGTATCTCGTCAATATGTGATTACACTTTCTTAGTAGTAAATTAAATTCAATCATCTCTCAAAGTAAGTGTTTGATTAAATCCAATTTGAGACTCACTAGATTAAACCTACATATATCTAAAGTAGAAAGAGTATAAATTAGATAAATAATCAATAATCTTAAAACTAAAAATAAATGTAATCTTAAATTTTAGAAATCCATTATAAAAGAAAATCTTGAATAATGAATTGCATAGAATATTGGGGGAATAATACGTGTGATGACAGAACAATTGATTTTTATTTCAAGGATCGTATTGAAGGAACTTTACGTATCATAATGTGAACTCAACTAAGAAAAATATAAAGAGTAATGTTCAAAAATACTTACTAGCTTACTTAATAATCTCATAATTAAGTTCTAGTAGAGACATTTTGTCAAAAACATCTTAGACACCTTTTCACATTAAAAGTTCCAAACGCATTAAGTATTGTACAATTTATCTTTTGGAAAGATATCATCCATGGTAAAAAAATCATTTTCCCGACAAAGGAAAATTCTTGCTCTCTCAAAAAGTTTTTCCACATATGTAAAATTAGCAGAAATACAAAACGGAATTGAAAAGCGAATCAAATCGCATGTCAAGTCAAACAATAAAATCGATTTATGGTTTGGTTTTGACTTCGTTTGGTAATAAAAAAAACTCAATTATTCTTGGGTTGATGTCGTGTTAACTAAATAAAGTCAACCCGATATCATACATATAATTTTTTAAATTTATTTATATGTAAAACTATTTACTTTGATGTATCTTCCAAATAGTACATATATATATATATATATATATATTGTCATTATTTTTATGTTTTGGCATAGTTTTTTCAAGCTTTTTAAACTTAGAACTTTTAATAATCCAATTAAGATAATATAGTTCAAAGATATTAGTAATTCTATTAAAACTCATTTTGAAATCAAATAACTATTATGCTAACAAAATAAATTAATCCAACGCTAAGAATGGGAATAATGTTGAATATTTGTTCTTTAGTTTTACATTAGTTTAGACATTTAAAATACATAATAAACTTTATAATTTTTTTTTAAAATATCTAATAATGTAACTAACACTTATTAGATTTATTTTCGCATGATTTAGTACTTTGAAATTATTATCATTTTTATTATGACTTTACAATATTTATTTTATATGGTGATTTCATTATTGTTTTTAGTAAATATTTTAGTGTCATCACTCATCTCATATTTTGTGTTATTTTCTTAGAAACATCTTTGATAACTAAAAAATCTTAGATTTATTAGTTTAGTTTGATTTAAAAACTAAAAAATCCGACAGAATGGTTTCTCTTTTTATTTGAAAAAAAACATGCAATTAGTTTGCTATGGTTTATAAATTTAATTTTTTTACGAAAAATAGTAGGGTTTGATATATGAAAAACCTAAACTAACCCAGGCATGTACACCTCTAATTCCCCATTTCTATTTCTGTCTTTAGAAATCGATGGTAAGCCGGAGCAGATCGATATAACTATATATAAAAGGTTATTTTGATCAAATAATTACTGACTTTTATATCATTATGAGACATATTAGATGCTTCTTCTACTAGAGGTGAACCGACTCCGATATTATATAACTACTTTAAAGTATAGTGACAATCTGTAGATTTTGTCCAGATATTTTTACAATTTCATAGTTTTTTGCATATTAAATTTCAGATGTTTGGTTATTTTATCAGCTTAATTATGAATACTTCAGAGCATTACATATAATGACACTAGGGATTACACTTTCTATAAAAAAAGTTAAATATATATTACTAACAATTAACACAATTCATGAAAATATATCACACCGAATAGTTTTATTTATTTATAATGATTTACGATGCATATGATACACGATTATACCTATGAAACATACATCACACAAATAGTCTTATTTCTTCTTAAGGATTTAGGATAGTAACAATATTCAATCTTGTTATTAACTGGGAATGAGGACTGATATCTATTTTCCGGCATGGTGAGCCTCAAGGTCCTTGATGAGGCCAATAAGAAACTCCATAAAGTCAAGGGGCTCAGGAATATTTTGATTAAGTTTTTCATACATCATGCTCCAAGTAATCCAGTTTTCCTTTACAGTTAATATAAGTGTCATTGAGTTATATAATTCATTCATATATCCTTCAATAAAATTGAAGGTCATTGATTTTGCTGCATCATCTATGTCTACGACCTGTTTGAAATGTCGTTCTTTGCCCCCTGAACATATTAATATAATAATATAAGTTCAAACATCAAAGCTAATTAATTGATCGTTTCTACCATAGCCAATTGAAAAATGGATTAATATAAAAAGCTTACCAAGGATAATTTTCCAGCCAATAACAGAGTTTGTTTTTCCCAATTGACCATCATGCAATGTGAAGTTCGTTACCTTATCAGGAGACATGGTGGATGTTTGGTGTGGATTTGATTTGAAGTGGTCATGAAGCAAATCTCCAGCACACTTCATCTCTAATTTCGAGATCAACTTACCTTTCAAACCCATTACCTAGAATTGAGTGAGATTTTGTTATAAGAGAATGTTTACAAATTAATTGAGATACATGGAGGCTTTATATAGAGTTTGTGATTTTATAGCTACTTGAAGTATTAAATATATTTTAATTTTAATGAATGTGGTCTATTTTTAATAGTTTAGGTGGCAATATTTATGTAGGCAAAAAACAGTTGAAATATTAAATACCTATCTCATCTCCCTCCATATTCATTTACAACTTCAACTTTTTAAGTTAAATCTTCACTTGATTATTATAAAATTGGGAATGAAATGGTTTAACAAATTTTATAATTACATTCACTAGAAAATAAATCATGAAAGTTATACAAAATGAATGTGTTCAAATTATTTAATATAGGCGGAGTCAAACATAGGAGTTTGAGAGTTCTAGATCAATGTTATATGGGGGTTCACATGTTCATATACATATATTTAATTATTCTTCTAATACAAATATAGGATCTACAAAAGAACTAGTGATTTCGTCCGAGACTATGAACCCTACCGAACTCTGCTTTACGTAACTCCGCCTCTATTAAATCTATATAACTTAGTTAACAATATGAACATAATGGAACCTTTTTATGGAAAACTATCTCTCTTCCCCCCCCCCCCCCCCATTAATGACTACTCATAATATTGATTTCAGATTTTTTTAAATGAATATTCATCGCTCCAAACTGTATAGTCCTGAAAAATTGTTATTTCCCTCTGTTTCAGTTTTGTTGTTTTACTTTCTCTTTTAGTTATTTTTCAAATAGAATATGTTTTTCATTTTACACGACTTTTTAGTACCAACTTTTCATATGACACATTTAACACCAAAAGATCAAATGATATTTTGATATATTTAATATAATTTTAATTTAACTCAACAAATTTTAAAAGCCTACTTTTACTTTTAAAACTCTAAACCTAATCGAAAAAAGGACAAATAAATTGAAACGTCAATCTTGTCCGTAAAAAATGCATACTAATTCTTGATATATCTTAAATATTTTATGTTGGTAAGAAATTTACCATCAAAACTATATTTAAAACATGTGATTATCAGTAGTAAATTTCTTAGGTAGCTATCTATACGTAGCCATGCTAAAAGTTTCAAAATTTAATATGAGAAAGTTTTGTCTAATCCTATATGGTAGGTGAGGATAGTCTAGAAAAACAAAAATTCAAATCCAAATTCAATTTTTTTTGGATTTTTTTTGAGTTTTTTTTTTAATGAATTAGACTATGGATTTCACTTTTAAAGTTTATGAATTAAAAACTTTGTATCATATTGGACACTTGGATTTTTTGATATCAAAAAATCATAAATATATATCTTAAACTCAATCTTATCAATTTTCATGTCGATTTTGTGGGACAAAAAAGTAACTAATGGTTTTTGTAAATTTGAAAATTTTATGAAATGACATTAGTTTAATATTTTTAATTATAGCAGTATAACTAAACTTTCATGTTGTAACCATTAAAATTTTTAGTTTGTAAATTTTATGTAACAAAAAATTGTTTTAAAAGTAATTGTAAAAAATCAGTTTTGAAAAAAACTAAAAATATAAAAAAGAATAAAAAATAAAATTTGAAAAAAATAAAGAAGATAAAAACGAATAAGGTGTATTAATTAATTTTTAATTTATTGATCATAATTGTTACCCGACATAAATTTAGGATATTCAAAAAAAATTAGGAATACTTATTTTCCATATTTCACTCAAATTTGTTAACATTAATTAAAACAATTCAAACGTAATCCTATCTTTGTTTATTTTTTTTAGAAATGGTGTCACTAGTTAGGAATTTTAATGGATTATGAAAATATAAACAATATATGCATTCATAAATCCTATCAAGTATTCATGATCATAGCATTATAGATTTTCATATATATCGATTACTATGATAATTCAGTTAAGAATTCATACCCTAATAAGTCATAGTGATTTTCCAGAATCTTGAAATGAATTGAGAGGAAGTCATTTCTTTCTTTTCGTTCTTCACAAGTTGTTTCTCTCTCTTGACTTATATATTAAGAATAATTTTGATGGATAAGACTATATATTTATGCCAGAGTGAAGGCCATTTACTTAAGAGTGTTTTTTTACATCATTCCCACCTTTCCGTCATGGTAAATAATTTATGTAGTGGGTAGCTTTAAAACTACCAAGTAGCTCCCTACTTGATGGGTAGTTGAAAGAGGTAACAGGTAGTTCAAAATTACACATGTAAGTAACTTTTCAACTTCCCCACTTCTCCACAACCTATTTACGATATAAATTATATTAATTGTTAAACCAAAATTAGTTAGTGGGCCATAGAAACATACATTCTCCAACTTGACGCACAATCTTTAACTTAATGGTTTAATATGCATGTTAATCTTCATGTGCACAATGTTAAGTCAAATATCATTCGTCGTTATTAAATAAATCTACTATGAGCCATGTTGGTTGTACACCACTTTATTTGACATAGTCCCTTCCATGCACTACAATATTAGTATATTGACTAACACAACCTTTCAAATACATAAAGGGTCCACAATAATGCTTAGAATATATTTATCTAAAACAAAACATGTCATCGGCATTCTAAACATGATGTATACAAAAGAAAACAGTTTATAACAAAAACATATACATAGTTGAGCTCATAGTGTCAAGTGTATAAAGATAATAAAATCTTGACAAAAATCTTCATCGTCATCTAAAAGACACATTCTTTAAACTTGTTCAATAAATGTTTTTGACAGTAATCCTTTCGTCAAAGGATCAACAATCATATGTTTGGTGCTAATATTTTCAATTGTCTCTTGATGCTTCTAGACTTTTTCTTTAATTGAAACGCATTTCAATTCCATATGTTTGTCACCCTTAGAATACTTATAATTTTTACGAAGAAGACTATTGCAGTATTATCACAATAAATTTTTGGCTGCTTGGAAATACTATCGACTAGTCAAAGAATGCCACAAACTCAGCTCCCATAGTGGATGCAACTAAAACAGACTTCTTCACACTCTTTCATGATATTGATCATGTATCTCATAGCACCACCTTCTTCAATTAGAGCCAAGTCTCATGAATTCTCTTGCCCTCCAAATGTTGAAATCTTTGTATGATTTCTCTAACATTAATCATCTTCTTTGTAGGAAAAAATTACACGTAAAATATGGTGACCAACTCCTCCCAAGAAGTGACTGAGGCACGTGGCTACTCGGCCAACAACTTGCATGCTTCCTTCCATCAGTGAAAATAGAAATAACCTTACCCAGACTGACTCTTAAGATATGTTCTCGAAGGAAAATGGTCCACATAAATCCATGAAGTTTTAAAGATGGTAATGTGAATCCTCATGGCCCAATGATCTTTAACGCCCTTTAGTTGCAAAAGTTGCAACATGGTGCCCGTGACGTGTAACATTGCATTCCCTTCAACTTGTGGTAAAAAAAAATGGCACCTCCCATGAGATGGGGATTATTAGCACGAAGCTCGTTGACATTGTTGAGGTTTCCAATGTCATCTTGCTGGCCTATTTGGCTTCCATTAACACTTATGGTTCATGTTTTCAATACAAACAGGCAAAACAAAAGAGAAAATTAGATTAATTCTGCTATAACAAACAAGTTCAAGACTGAAGTTAACCAAAAATTCTAAAATAATACTTCTCCCCTCTAGTGTCACCATTTTGACTTGACGTATTAGGATACATTTTCCAATTCTAAGTGCCCGTGTCTGCAAGTAATGTTATAAACCAACCAAAGTTTGGGACCATTCCAATAGGGAGTAATTTTGAGATTTAAGAGTTAAGACCGAATTAGTTCAAGCTCTTCGTAGCAAAAAGACATTTACTATAAACAGAAACATAATACATTAAAAGAGGCACGAGTATCAATTATCAAATGGATGGGGGTTGTAAAAAATTATAAGCTAACAACTAATAATAATTGAAAATACTAATACGGATATGGGATGCTTGGGATGTGATAGGAGTATGAGCTAAAATAAACTATTGGGTTAAACCAATTGATATTAAATTGTTGTAAATTTATGACTTAGATAGGCTTTAGTGGAGTAAATTCTCCTTTAAGCAAATTAACCCAAATCAAATTGGTTTCCCTTGAACACTAATTTTCCGCAATCATGCCCAACCTTTGACTTAGATTATTCACTCTCTCGAGCTAAAAGTCTGGGAGATTGTTTAGAATTCATTCTCTCGAGCTAAGCCACGTCAACCCAATAATCACCAGTTATCGATTCAGTAGACTTGGTACCTCTCTCACGAGAAAAAGCCAAAGACACGAAGGTGAAATAATACTTAAAACTACAGGACAATTTAATTCAGACAAAAATACTAAATGAAATCACATTTAATAAGCAAATAAACAGTCAATGAGAAAGACCTAGAAGTAAATTCAACTCATACTCACATAATCAAACCCAAAGAATTGGGGTTTTAGCTAGGCATAGTAATATATAGTAGTCGATTCCAACTGGTGTTTCCATCAACTGGTATGATTGATATGTATACACACATGTCTACAACAAAGATTCTTCAATACCCACTTCCAATGTGTTGCAGTTGAAAACCCTTAATTCTTCAAAGCTTAAGAACAAACTTTCACAAGAATTCTATGAACTAAAGTTGAGAAAATATTTGAACATAACCTAAAAGGTAAAAGTCTAGTAAAATTTGATACTAAGCTAAAAATAACAACGAGTAGTTATAGTTTATGAAAAGTTGTGGTGTGAAGGACCACTCAGCGCCGTTAGTTGGGATCGCAAAGAACCTCGGTGATACTCCTTTTTATATATCTCCTCGTCGTCCTGCCTTAGCCTTCAACATCTTCGTGTTTTTTAAATTTTGGTGACGTAGTAGTGAATTGCGGAACTGCTCCGCAACATGCTGACTTAATTATTTCCTTCAAATCCCAGTACACTGGAACATTAGGCGAGAATAAGGACATTCGGAGACTCACATAATGAGTAAGGCGATCCTCAATCAGTCCTTTCTTCATTCGTTCCAATGCCTTGTTCTTTTTTGCTCAATTGTGTCCATGCTT